ATATATATATATATATATATACACCTTATATTTGTGTCTGAGTATATATAATAGATAAAACACCAAACTGTAGGGATGCAATACATATATATAATGTTGTAGTGTATATACATATATATGAATTAACAAATTCTCTCATTTATCTGCTAATTGAAGGGCATATTTTTTTTAAATCAAAGTTCTAGGCTTATTTTAACCTTAACCTTTTTTTACCGTTCTTTTGCTATGGTAGCACACGAACAGACTGATTTTCAAAAATCGTGATTTAATAAATTTAACATAACTAAGGCAATACGAGAACATGATGGATGTGATTATTAGTTTGCCGAATAAACAATTATAACCTGTAATCACAGCTACATTAAGTCAATTCTGACAAAAACATCACCGTCACTCAATTAGTAGCGGTGACGCCATGTAGTTAACTTGTCAAGCTCATTCAGTAAGATTTCTACATGGTTAAATATTGTATGACTACTCCTCGATCTGTATTTGTAATTTATAAACTAAAGGTGACATGCCAGTAAATGCTTGGGCTTATATTTTAGCCTCGGAAAAGGAGTTAGCTCCACGCATGACTCAGCTATCGCTTGCAATGAATGGGCGAGCTTAGCCTAGCGTTAGCACGGAACGTTAGCTGTGAGTAGGGTTTTTTTTTTTTACCTTTTGTTGTACAACTCCTCCAGACTGTGCCACTGTGCCGCCATCTCCGGTGTGGAGCTGGTGCTCTGCTGTTGTTTGAGGTAGCCAATAACATCTTTCATCGTTGCAGCGGGCAGATATCTTGAGGACTAATAACTGATGTTGGATTGTTCAACTGATGTCAAACGGCTAACTGTCTGACTTGCAGTTGCCACTAGTCGCAAAGACTTCTGGGAAATAGATGCGGCGTTGCTGCGTTCAGGTACCACAGTCAACGTAAAAAAAGAACTAGGGAAGAACTTGATATTCAGATTTTCCACACCAAAACATACGCAGTGTGTAATTTACGTAACGCCTACATTTAAAGCGTATATAGAATTACACAGGCGAAATAACTAAAAGTAAAACTAACATTAATGTTACCAGTTATTATGTCATCATTTGGTCATTTTATCATTTTTGCAGATAGACTATTTGCTTTGGCATAAAATAGATTAAATGTAGTCTAATATTTGTTCATGGTCTTCGACTTTCTGTGTTGTTTTTCGATTAAGTCAACTTTTACCAGGTACTAATTAATGCACTAAATAAATTTTACAAAATGTAGTACATTAGCAAAATGCCTCAAAGTGTTTGTCACTGTGAGCCTCTCCTACTCCTGCCCCACCAGGCACCAAACCCCTGGGCACACACGCTGGGCACACTGGCACACATATGTCCAGTGATAACGCTCCTGAGGAAGGCGCTAATGCGCAAAGCTTTTACCGGTAGATGTTAACCAGTTGAAGAAGTAATACTCAAGGGAATCATGGGAAATGTAGGATTTACTGGGCATATGACTTAAGCGTATGGTTAACAATGAAGAGTACATTTCAGAGTAAGTGGAGACAGGCTTTTAATCGGCTAGTATTTATAAAGGGGTCACCGGTAGTTTGAATTAGCGCGGTTTTTTAACATGTGATCCAGCGATAAAGCTCCCACGTATAACCTAAGTTAGGCTACGTTGCTAGCAACATAGTGGTGAAGTTCTAGGACTACAGCTACGTAAAGAGGACACTTTCACTTTGTTTTGACGGAGAACACGCTTTCATAGCTCGGTTGCAGGGGGACATACGTTCGCAGCTGTGTGCCTTCGTCATTATGACGTCTTTTCTGAGCTCCTTGTTACTGTCAACAATTAGCACGAGGCTTCAGGCACACGGTCAGTTCACACATACATTAAACTCACAGGAAACTGTTCCTACTTAATCATGATGGGTGACATGACATGTACTTTGTAGGTTGTGGTCTGTGGCGTTTGTGTGCAGCTGGAGGAGCAGCTCCTCTGTACAGGTACGAGGTTCTTTCAGGACACTTTTAATGCTTTAACTGGGTACAGAGTAAAGGTCAATACAGCTGGTACTCCGAGACTCAAACATTTTTCAGAGTAAGAATATTGCGTTGTCCAATGTCCACTTCGGTCATATCTGTTTGCCTGTTGTTCTTTTTTGTAGAAAAATAAACTCTTGCCACGTGGATGGACGTCGAGGTCTTTGCACTCGTGATGGCAGCTCAGAGGTCAAAGGGCTGACCCTGAAGGACATTGCCAAAAACATCAGAGAATCGCAGTACAAGAGAGTGGTGGTGATGGCTGGAGCAGGGATCAGTACACCCAGTGGTATCCCTGATTTCAGGTACATGCAATTTTATTGGTTCATGTTTTACATCTGCTCCAAATACTGACTTGGTATTGGCTGTCAGGTCTCCAGGCAGTGGCCTCTATGACAACCTTCAGCAGTATGACCTGCCATATGCCGAGGCCATCTTTGAGATCAACTTCTTTCATCACAACCCGAACCCATTCTTTGCTCTCGCCAAAGAACTCTATCCAGGAAACTACCGACCCAACCTTAGCCACTACTTCGTACGTCTGCTTCACCAGAAGGGTCAACTCCTCCGCATGTACACACAGAACATCGACGGGCTGGAGAGATGTACGTATGACATCACTACACATCATCAGCATTGATGCCCTCAGCATTCATTTCACCGCCCTCTTTGCTCATGTGCAGTGGCAGGGATTCCTCCAGAGATGCTGGTTGAAGCCCACGGCACCTTTGCTACGGCCACCTGCACCGTCTGCCTCAGAAAATACAAGGACGACGACCTACGAGTGAGTGTCAATCTACCAGACACATCTTCACTATGATTGGATTTTTCTATTTTTGACAAGAGGGCAACACATTATAAAAGGTGATTAAACTCAAATTAATGATAACAATAACAACAGTAATAAAGTATTACATTACATATTTTCCAGATATTTCAATGTCAAATTATTATTTTTATTTATGATATATTTTTATGTTTTTATGCCACCTGAACCCAAACCCAAAAAATATCGATACAATTTCAAATTATTTATTATAACAGTGAACTCACTTGTTTTTTCATTTTATTTCCGTTGCCACTCAGACCGACGTCCTAAATGGCACAGTCCCTAAATGTCCTACTTGTAAAGGTGTGATAAAGCCTGACATCGTGTTTTTCGGGGAGGAACTTCCGCAGCATTTTCTCAAGTATCTGACAGACTTTCCTCTGGCCGACCTGCTCATAATCATGGGCACTTCACTGGAGGTGAGTGAATAAAAGAGAGCCTTGAAACATTAATTACCAGATGTTAAAATATCATAGTGATATATGATCTAATTTAACTGAAGCTCTTGAGTGTGCCTACAATGCATTTAACACCAATGATTGGACACAACCAATCATTCCATCCTGGGTTTCCCACAGTTATTTTTATACTTCTATTGTTTGCTCTTTGCCCTGTAGGTGGAGCCCTTTGCCAGCCTGGCTGGAGCTGTGCGCAGCTCTGTCCCTCGTCTGCTCATCAACAGGGACTTGGTTGGGCCTTTTGCCTGGCGCCGTCGTCCTCAGGACGTTGTGCAGCTGGGTGACGTGGTGAGTGGGGTGCAGGCCTTGGTCGATGTCCTGGGCTGGACACCTGAGCTGAAAGCTCTAATGGCTGAAGCTGTGGAGGACACTAGTGTGAGTTTTACTATTAGTTACTATTAAGTTTCATCATAGTACAGTTTAAAGAATATTAATTAGGGATGTCAGATAATATCGGCCGACAGATATTAGCATAATTATGTAATATCTGTAAGTGTTATTGTTTTTTTCTAATGAAAACCCAATATCGTCTGGGTTTCTCTAAAAGATCTGTGCCCTATAAATTAGTTTTGGGGATAAACAGATGTATATTAAAGTGAAAGTCACTAGATGGCAGCATTGCAGCTCATTTTATTAATCTATTTTCATAATCAGGGGATTGTATGCAGAATGCTGGTGCCAGGAACTAATACAGGGGTTTGTACAGATAAATAATTAAATATTACCAGGTCTATATCGGTATCGGTTGATATCGGAAATTAGGTGTTTGGACACTATCGGCATATCAGATATTGACCAAAAGATAATGCTGGACATTCCTAATATTAATCCTAGATTTTATAACAAGTTTAAATATCATTTGTTAGAACACAGCATATACTACATGATGTTTAAAACAAGAGAAAATTGTTTTCTTCAGGCTTGGATCCCATGTTTCCCACACTGTAATTTAATAAGATGATGAAATTAGTCGGTAACACACACCAACTGATGAGAGGGGAACAAATAATAAAAGGTCATTCAATGCACATGACCTATTACAATAGGTACAAACAGGTCATATTTTCCAGTTATATCAGTTTCACATTATTATAATTTAATATAATAAAGATGTAAACATTAAAGATGTAACGAAACAACTCAACTCATGGTATGATATGATTCACACTTTTTCAACACTATTCACAAACCACTGGAAACACCTGCTGCTTGTTTCTCAACACATTTTGGTCAAAGGCAGTGAATGCTTCACGCTGAACACTCCTGTTCACCCGCAGGCTGCGAGAAAAACTGAGGAATGACGTCATTTCTTTGTGTCTCGCTGGAGGTTTGACTTCGTTTGCTGCAAGAAACACAAAGGGTGGGATGACACTGTGTTACAGAGGATCTGACAGATGTTCAAGGTGGATAAGTAACAAGAGGTAGCAGTGAAATACAGAGTAATAGAAACAGGTGAGTTTCACTTAGACCTGGGATCTGCAACCTTTAGAACTAACGGGCCATTTATTTATCATTTAACCACCAGGTAAAATTCACCAGGAGCTGCAAACACATTTGAACAATTCCAATGAGGACAGGCAGGAGCTGCAAACACATTTGAACAATTTCAACGAGGACAGTAGTGCTGTGTGGACCATGCGTTGTTTAATCTTGCTGCTCTTCAGAAAAAACATGACAATGATCACAGTCACACACACAGCCTTGGTTAGTGGGTTAAACTCACCTGGTCACCCACAGTGTCCTGAGGTGGAAAAACTGATTTTGAAGTCGATGGTACCATGGCGTTGTTTTGCTGTTGGCAAGCAAACTGTAATATTTTGTGTGGAGTATAATTGTTTGAAACTTAATTTGGTTGACCAAATGGTATTGTAAAAAATGTTATCAACGTTTCTGTTCTGTCCAAAAATAATAGTGAGTTTTATGAAATAATGATGTAAAATATTTAATGAAATGTACTATTGGTTCCTGCAACTTCGTGATTCTCCAGATGTTCTCAACTCAATAAAAACTCTGTTCTATCCACATTTGTTATTCCCAGGTCACATGATTAAAGTTTCATGTTTTACTTCTCTTTGTCTGTCTTAAAATCTACTTAAAGAGCATGTCTAGAAACCAAATCTAAAGATGGAATTTGATAACAGTGTAAGTAGCTGCATCTCTACATCTGCAAATATTTGAAATCCTCATTATTTATTATACATATTATAAGTGGCTTTTTTTTTACACTACAGTGCGATTTTGCAATCAGGAATCATCATTCTAATTACCAACTTAGCAGCGGCGCCATCTTGAATCCTACTGGTTTCTTGCTAGAACTAGAGCTCGTACGCAAACGATATGTGACGTCAAAAATACGGGTGTTCTGGATACGAGAGTTTTTATTTTTAGTGGCGTCGTATGTGGACAGTTGCCGTTGACGCTGCTTGAGGAATATCTGCGAACATTGCGAGATCAAATTTAAATCTTCGAGGACGGAGAAGCCCGCGAACTGCAGCGTTTGACGGATCACTTCAGGAAGTTGACGGACCAGGAAGTTGATTAAAGGTAAGGTTGACAAATTAGTTTTAAAAGTTTGATAAACTAAGAAGATTATTATCGAACGAATATAAATATGTATAACGGGATATTAAATATGTGTGTGTGCAGTTCACGTTATTTACTTTTACTTCGTTTCACCGAAGCACCTTTAGCTTAAATACTAGTCTCGGCACTCAGGTCAAAGTGGGTTGTTTTTCATAATTAGGAAGATTGATTCATTTAAATTTGTCATGATAAATACACCGCTACCCCGTGATTAATCAAATTGAAATGTAATTGTTTGATGGGCAGAGTCTGTTTTTCTTGTGCTAACATTTGACAGCCATTGTTAATTACTTTTAAATCACAAGTCTCAAAAGAGCTGTGCTTATATTTGGTTCCAATCAGAGGCAGTGATATCAATGATGCATTCACTGTCCAAGAAAAAAAGATTAATGGTCGCTGAGCGCTTGCTGCGAAATACATCATTGGTTCTGTTGATAAAAATTAAATTCTCACTTCTCATTTGAAGGCAAATTCATTAGTTTGTGTTAAAAATGGTTGAAAATGGGTGGCTAATGTACTTCTTTAAGATAACCCCTTACTAGTTTTGACAAACATACTATAAAGTATGATCTGCCAATATGATCTTGTGAACACAAAGTTTAAACTATAAGTAAAATCCAATAATTAATAAAAAGTCAAATATAAGTAAAATCCAATAATTAATAAAAATAAAAGTCAAATATTTTGGCATGTAGAATATTAATCGTCCAAACCTGATGTCTGAGACATGCATTTAAGGATACACAGAAATACTTTCTTTGTTATCCCAACAATGATATAATAATTCCCAATTCTGGTTCATTATACTACATAAGTCACAAATGATTCCATTGCTTTATTTTTTTTTCTAAAGCAGCTTCTACATTTAACTCCAATTTTCACCTCTCCTGGCTAAAGAAAGAAATGTGTTTTGGTCGACACTGACGTCGGTGTCATAAGAAAAGTTTGCTGTTAACACCCTCTATGAATATCATCTGCAGCGGGGAACTTTGCTTCTTTTCTGAGGTGTGAGTGCTGTAAAGAATTCAGAAAAGCAAGAACTGTTAAACTGTAGTTAAAATCAAAATCCAATCAGAGATGTGACTTTTTTAATCCCAATACCGATTGCTGGCCGATTCCTCGGCTTAGCAAAACATTGTCGAATAAATAAACTGTATACCTTAGACTTAAATATTACTTTCCTAACACTTGTTCCTAAATGACATAACAAATGAACACATTGACACGTCCAATCAGTCATTTTTAATGAACCAGATGAAGTTCGTAGTGCTGTGTTCATCAGCAGGAGTCCTACCTCAGGTCTATTTGCTCATTTTACCTTGTAAGCAGTTTGGGGTAATGTTTCTGAAAAGCTATTCTATTTGGGGGAAAGTGCCAGTATGTATAACATACTGTACTCATGTAAATCGACCAGGCTAACAGAAATACACATTGCTTCATGCATAGAAATTTTTCTGCAACCTCTTACACAATATCGATATCAAGCTCACTGATTCCGAACCACTGTGCTGTAGCACATTAGCATGCAGTAAGAGATCGTGAGGTGTAATGTTGGAAATTTCTTTCACTTTCACACTAAAAACTATTATTTATTCACTACAAATAATTAGTTGAGGCTGAGGCTGAGGCTGTGCAGCAGAGATAAGCATAATTAAATAACTTACCACTAGGTGACAGAAGATGGCTATGGAAGCTAACAAAAGAAAAGGACTTGGAACAGTTGAAGGTCTGCGTGTGTCTTATGTCTATTCCTGCAAGTACATCAGCGTTGTGTTTCACTAAACAGGCACAGGTTTCACACAGAGTTATTAAGTTGTGGCTATAATCTAGAAGATTACGTTTCATATACCTTTGTGATATTTTTGTTTGGTGGTGCTCAGTGGTATTTTTGTTATGTAAAATATGTGCCGCGGCTCAAAGAATGTTGTGAAACACTGACCTAGACTACAAGCTCCTTAGTGGTGAGATTTTAAGTTTATTCAACACATGTTTTGGCAGCTGTGGTTGTACTGAATCCAAGCGTCTATTTCTAAGACTGGCTCACAACAAGTGTGTTAATGTCTTATGCAAGGCAACTTTAAAAAACATTGGCGCGAAAGTCTGTCAGTCTCCGGTTGTTTACAGTTGATCCAGACCCGACACATTTCTGTATCACATCTCTGCTGCTTCTGGCAGAGAGAAATTGTTAGCAGCAGGTACGGAAACATTTCTTGAAGAACTTCTTGAACTCTGTGTTAAAAATGGTGTAGATGATGGGATTGAGGGCGCTGTTGACATAGCCCAGCCAGGTTACGGTGCTCATCAGACTCTGCGAAATACTGCAAGTTAAACACACGGCTCGTGTTGTATGGACAACGAAGAATGGTGTCCAGCAGAACAGGAAGCAACCTGTATAAACACAAGAGGACGAAGTAACTCTGTTAGGTTCATCGATCAAATACTTCTGTTGTTAGAATTAAAAACAACAGCTTTGTGTTTGTTTTATCGTTATAGGCATGGAATGACAATACTATCATTGGAATTTCCATGATCAGAATGGTCTTGGTAGTAGTTTGGGATAACTTAAGCATCTTCACATCTATTATGTTCAAGACTGTGGGTCATGTGATGGTCCTGTGTCATGGCAATGAGACTAAATGAGACCAGTGCAAAGTGGTAAATGTTTCATTATTTCTTGTTATTAAAATAAAATCCACAAATGAAGTTAAAGCTCTGGTGCTCACTTGTAGTGTAGTCGTAGAATAAAAAATGTTGAGATAGTACAAACGTTCTCATAGTAGTCCTTATACCGTTGTACCAAACATTACAACAACATCCAGATTTAACAGGAACTCTGTCTATAAAAGTACCAGCCGACAAAATGTTTGGGGTAAATCAGACTAATCGGTCTGGGTTCATTTTAGACCAAGCTGGCCAAGTACAACGCAGACTCATAATTTAAACTGAAGACATCACAGCTTGAGGGGCATTCCATCCATCACACAAAGAACAGAATTTCTTACAAGGAGTCATCAAACACACAACACCGGCAACAAAATATAAAACACCATCTGGAACGTGAAGGTTTTTTAACAACAGTAAGAAAAAGAAATGGTCTTTAGGCCTTTAGGTCTGTTTTTACATCACACCATATTTGTGCTTCTTAATAATATTGCACCCTTTGCCCCTTACCCACAGTGCAAGAGTGTGAAGATAAGAAAAATCTGTTTTTTAAGAAATGATTAGTGGTGTGCTTCACGAAATAAACTGAATTAAAACACGACTTCACTCTGGCAGGTGGACATACTACCACTGTAGCTTTACGTGTCATCCACACTATCGATAACAAAGCTTATTTGCTTTCTTTATTGTTCATAAATTCTTTTACCATTTGTATTTCTGACAGAGTAGGAATAGAAGCTAAATCTGTAACATTTTAGTTTATCAGTTTAAACAGAGAGGGTTGGAACTTTGACACTTGTTATTATCATTTCTCATGCCCAGTTATCACCAAGACTATAGGGCAGAAGTCAGATAGTCTGCCTGCAAGAGATGGTGGGAGTGTGGGATCATGTGTTACTCTGTAATTGGATTAAATGCTTTACACTGCCATGAGCCTCTTGTTTAGAGACATACAGCCAGAATTGGTGCTTTTATCCCTGGTAGAAAACCTGAGCTGTAATTGGAGAAAGGTTGGGACCCACCTACTACCACGGGTAGCACCTTCATCGCTTTTCTCTCCCTGCTGTTAATCTTGGCTCTCTTCTTTAGATGCTGCTGTTGACTCAGCGTCACCGTGGCCACTGAGTTTTCTTGGTACTGCCTGGGATAAGGAATGTGCTTTGTATAGTTGTCCCCGTCATCCAGCCGAGATTGGGCCAAGTCCCTCTCGATGATTCTGGGCAGAGGCATGGGCAAAGGTCCGGAGATGGTGCCCGCCAACGGGGGCAGTGCGGTGGCAACTGCGGCATGCTGCAGCTTTCGGCAGGCATCGATGCTGCTGCGTAGTTTGGCCTGACGAGCTTCTTCCCACTGCTGCAGGCCACGGAAAACACCAAAGTACAGCAGGACCATAATAGGGCAAGGGATGAAGAAGGAGCAGACCGAAGAATAAACCACATAATTATTGTCCTCCAGTTTGCACTCACTGGGGTCACGGTTAGGCACGTTGTTGATGCCAAAGATGACTGGTGAGGCCACAGCAAGTGCAAACAGCCAGGTGGCCAGCAGCAAGATGAGCTGACGATGATCCACATGTTTACGGTTATAATTTAGAGGAATGGACACAGCAATAAACCTGCAAAACAGGGAGTAAACAAAACACATAAAAAGCCACATTAAAAGCAAACACACACATTCCATTACATACGACAAATTAAGCAAGATTTCAACAACGCACAGAGCAGACAGCGTCAATGTCTATTTACGGTCCTTACATTAGAACCATTAGCATATGAGACAAATTTGATTAGTTGTTTGAAATGTCACCACTAGCACCTAGCCCTGAGGCTAAAAACAACTACTTCATGTGTATACTTGTGTTTCCTCATACTTCACCCAGACAAGAACACATACTGTAAAGATACCTGTCCACACTGATGGCACAGAGGTTGAATATAGAGGCTGTGCATAGCATCACATCCATGGTCATCAAACTGTCACATATCACCGTGTTCAAGGACCAAACGCCACCTTGAAACTAGAACAAAATGCCACATTAGCTTTTCCAAATCTACAGTGAAAATGTGTGCAATCCTCTTGTATTTGCCACATTGCAGCAAGGACAATATATCCCCTCTTAACAAACATATGTTCCTCTCCCTTTTGCAACGTTTACCCACAGCTCAGACACAACGGGAACAAACACTCAGTTTGACATTTGTTAAATTGACAGACTACAGGTCCAGATAACAAGATCACAAATGCAGGAGGTGAAGTGGACAGACATGATATATATTTATTTGTGTACATATATGTATATGTATATATATATATAGATATATATGTATATATATATACATATCTACGCATGAATACATATATAAACATTTGTGTATATATGTATGTATATAGTTATATACATATACACATGTATACATATACAAACATATATATGCTAATATATAGCTGTATTATTGTGGGTCACACTGGTGTTAGAGAGTCCTTGTTGGACCTGTTGGAGGTGGAATGTTAGGAGTGTTGGAGACAAACTACTATCGTCCAAATACTGTGCAAAACATATGTAGGAACCAGCAATGACTAACTGTTGTTGGTCCAAATTAACGCAAACAATTAATTTACATTAAATTTCGTCACTAATGATCTGTCCCCGCTCTCAAAGAAAAGCTGACTGTCGCGTCTCCAATCGTCCACAGTGTGTTTACCTCTGCGTAAACGAAGAGCGGCAGCACCAGCACGGCCAGCAGGAGGTCCGCGAACGCCAGGCTTACAATGAAGTAGTTGGTGGTAGTTTTGAGAGCCTTCTCCAGGTACACGCTCACACACACCAGCACGTTCCCACCAGTGACGGTAACAATCAGCAGGATCCCGAACACCAGAGCAAACACGTTGTAATGAGTGGCCGCAGTCGCAGCCCGCGCATCGGTGTCCGGATCTGTGAAGTTCTCCGACATGTTCATCGGTGACTGACGGGTTACTTGTCTGACGCACATACACTTCCTCCGGTTTGTGGTTCATCTGCGGGACGATTGCGCTCCGTGCGCCCCGTTCTTAAAACGCACAGCCGCAGCGCTGGCTCTCAGCAGGTCCGCTTCCATCCGTCCGTCCGTCCGCCCGCGTGGCTGAGTGGAAGCTGCGTCCACAGAACGAGGATGTTTGCACAGCGAGCGAAATCAAAGGGCAAGGGCTTAAATCCAGACGCACAAATCTGATTAACGAGGCTGTTAACAGCCACACAAAAGGGAGGTGTTAGCTGCACACTTGTATCAATCAGCTGATTGAAAAGAAAGAAAGAAAGAACAAAAAAACCCCAATATTCCAGTGTTATGTCGTTGGCCACAGGCAAAGAAACTAAAAAAATACATCCATAAATTCAACCAGAAATAGACATTTCTATTGACTGCTGTCTGATGGACTTTTATTGTAATTGCCTGAAAAAAAAACACATTTATTTATAAGCACCATTGACTAAGTTTTTCTTTCAATTTACTAGAAATGTCAGTTTATATTTGCTTTATTGAGTCATGCTGAACGCAAACAGTAATATTTCACAAACCCCAACTGTATGTCGCGGATAAATTTACCATTTTTTGAGCCAGGGAACAAACTAGTTTCCAAGTTACCATGGCGATTTCAAATAGTCTACATTAAAAGGCGTAATGTTAGAGTCAAGAGTCACAGTGTTAATTGACATGTGCACAGTAAACACGGTGGTGTAGCAGTGCTAGGAAATCCTTGCTTTGCCTCTACTGCCCTGTGCGAAGCATAAAAACATTTAGTTACAGGGGGAAAAAAATGGAAGAAAAATACACCAAAGATGAAGTATAATAATAATAATAAGGACTACATTTTAGAGTCCAAAGAATTATTCTGCACACTTCATTATTGACAGCCATGTTTTCAGTTAAATTTGAATCCAGAAGATTCCAAACTGACTTGGAAGCAGCAAGGCATTATTTATTTATATTTTAATTTACCCCCATAGCCCCATATTTACCCCCAGACCTCCCCCAGATTGAATCTCTCTCTCTCTCTCTCTCTCTCTCTCTCTCTCACTCTCTCTCTCTCTTTCTCTCTCTTTCACGGCTGCAGTGTCTTTAAAAAGTAACTCAGACTGATTTCACTCTCAGTTGAAAGTTGTGATCTTCAAAGATGCCACGTGCACACTACACGTTTTCCTGTTACAGTCACTTTGGAGTCTGATGTCAGGGTGTTTGTACCCTGGTGGATCCTGTTGCTTGAAAAAATGCTATGGTCCAATTAAGTTTTCACACTTAGTCACAGTTATTCACAAGCCTGAGGACCAAATGTAGAATTTTCAGAATCACATGGATGGTTCCTACAGATGTCAGTGTGACAGGTTTGAGAGTGTGTTTGTGTCGCATCTGTCAGCGGATGTCATGTCATGTGGATTCAATTCACGTCAGACAACCCTGGAGTCTTAAACTTTTTTTGTTTTTTTCAAATCCACTCACAAAACCTGCAGTTTTTTTTCTCTGACTTCAATTACAGTCTATTTCTAATTTGTTTTGTTTTTTAATCAATTGTAGCTCTTTTTATTCTCTTTTTTTTTTCATTGTTTGGTTCCAAAAAAGTTCAAAACAGACCTGTCAATTTACTGAAAAGTATGTGTTAACTGCCATTAATATTTTTTTTAATTAATCAGATTAATTATTTTTTATATTTGCAAATGCTTTTCTTTCTCCTCTAGTGATTCCAAATGTAGATCCCTCTGTTCCAGTGTTAGTAACCTGATGTTCAGATGGAACAGCATCTTTACTATGATCACACTTTGACTACAGTTACATTGTTGAAAAAACGATATATATCACCTATAGTATTGCAATATACTGCAACATATTGTTATATTACCCCTGTATCGTGATGCACATCTTTCACCAGATTTTGGTGAAAGATGTGCATCACCCCTAATTTATACCTGTTGTTATTTACACACATTGTCTTATTCATGATTAGAAATTATTTATTTATTTATTTATGAGTAATCATGAGAAATTTTGATAACAACTAGTCATGATTAATTGTGATTAATCCACAGCTGCTCTGTGATTACTCAGATTTATCATAAATGATGTCCGTTTTTTATTCTGAGATGCTCTCACTCTTCTTCTCCATCAGAAACAGCTATTTCACACGGCAATAGGACTTGAATGAATGGATTAGTGAAAAATTAATACAGCGTTGATTCTATTCCTGGCTTGGCCAGTATTAATTCTGGTCTTTGACGTGGATTACATAGAGTCATTCACTCATTCATCTTGTACCAGAGAGCTGGAGTTTCTTTGCTTATTTATTCACTTTTTTAATTTTTCAGACCACAGGATAACAATGATTATGATTATGATTATAAAAATAAGGAATAAAATGTCTGTTGAGCTAAAGAGGCTTTTAAACCCGAATGAATCTTTGTAAACAAGTGACGCAGATTCACACGGGATTCATTTACAAATCAAGGTAAAACAATGAACTGTTGTTACTTTTTAAAGGTGAGGTAAAAAAAAATCTTATATTTTAAAAGATTAATTCTGACGGGATATTGTTTCAATGTCTCTTTCATCTCTAGGAATGTAATGATGCATCGTTTGCAAAAAAAATCACTGGTCACACCATGACACTACCCACTCTAGTACAGTAGGTGGCGGTATGCGCCTAAAAACATTGTTTTTGACCCTCTAATAAACTGAGATGCCAGAACCCTGCATAGCCTAAGTGACGTTCAAGTGTAGAAACAGAACGTGGGAAGAACTTGTTCCACAGACACCAACAGTGTTTTCCAGAGTTCCTTTGAAGAAAGGAACTCTTTCCAGTTCATATTTGTTTCTATTCTTTTGTTGTTTCATATATTTAACCAGGTCAGTCAGACCAGTTTGACTTTTAATCAGAGCAGATCAATGGTGATGTTACTATACTATAATAATACTGTTATTGAAGAGAACAGTTTCAGTTGGTGATGGGATTTTCCATCAGTTCTGACAAAGAGAGGTCAGTGGATTTGGTCACAGTTTGACTGGAGATCATTTGGTTTGAAGATCATTTGTGAGTTGAGTGAATCATAACTTTCTTAATCCCTAGTCATCTCTGTATGTTGGTTCTGTAACTGACCTTGTCCTCCTTTTGTATAGTGTAACAGAACAGTGGTTTCAGTTTCCCCTCACACATACTGTATATATGGAGATATTTTTACACTTCAAATATTAGATTTACCAATTTACCAATGTCTAGTAATACCAAGTAGTAAACCTTTGTTTGTTCACCATACAAGTTTTTTTTTAAATTTTTTTTCTAAACAGTTTGAAATAAATAGTATGTTAAATATGCTGCCCTCTGCTGGATTTCTTGCTAAAAACCACCCTCACACCGAGTACTGCTCTTTCTTTATTGATTTTTTAATGTTTAATGAATAACCTTTGACAGTCTAATTGGTTCAAGCAGATTTATGTGCGACCTGTTTGACAAACTTCACAACTAAAGCGACTGATTACTTTTACAACCACCTGGGGGAGGTGTGGAGCTGTTTCGGGGGCGAGGGGGGCAACAGGGCAACTTATTAAAATTGTAGTATTTTGAAAAGCGGTTTTGTAGGAATCACAGGGTTCAAACCAGTGTACCAGCTGGAATTTATTGATGGTTTTTCTTTTTTTAATTCAAGGAATCCTGAGAATTATGTCTTTACAGTGTTTTTTCTGTTGACAGATATGGCTGTGTGTTGGCCAGAGTCTGGCGATACGATACGTACGTATCACAATACAGTGACAACGATAAGATATAATGTGATATATTGTCATACTATATGCATGATGACATATTGAGTAATATATTTAAGCAATTTAATAATAGTCAAAGTGTCATCATAGTAAAGAGACAATGCTGTTCCATCTGAACATCAGGTACTAACACTGGAACAGAGGGATCTACATTTGGAATCACTAGAGGAGAAAGAAAAGAAAAAGAAAATGAACCACCAGGAATATTTGACTGGGAATTGGTAAAAAAAAAATCAATAAACTGATGGAGGATATTGATACACTATGGTGAAACACTATATTTCAGTGTATCTATATTTTCTTACCCTATTCTATCCCTTCTATCCCTATTGACAAAGCCTTTTCAGAAAAGTGACAGGAATAAATACATTTTCATCAAGGTGTAACACACCGCTGCTGCTGCTGCTGCTGCTGCTGCTGCTGCTGCTGCTGCTGCTGCTGCTGCTGATGCTGCTGCTGCTGCTGTTTTGTTTTTTTTTCACCTTATTTCAGTTTTTATTTGTATTCACGTTGTTTCTTTTCTTCCTGTTTGACATCAGTCCCTGTCTGTCTTTCTAGTGCTTTTCTGTAAATTCAATGGTGAATTCTGTGTGTGTGTGTGTGTGTGTGCATGCATGCGTGTGTGCATGCAGTGACCATGGAAATGGTAAGATAATGTATGAGCTTATCGTGACACTGTGAGCTTGTTCCCACACAGTAAATGGGAAGATGGGAGTTGTGGGGCTAAGTTGTGTGCGTGTGCGTGTGCGCGTGTGTGTGCAAATGGATGACTGCCTTGTGTGTACACTGTGGTGCCTTGTTTACATGTGAAGACATCATGTGTCTCTGTTTGCCTCATTGTGACTGTGTTGAGCTGCTGGCTGACGTTAGACGAAGCTGAAACACAGTCACAAACGCTCTCTGTAAATTCATCTTATCTCCAAAAATAATGTTGTTTTTTTTTGGCACTGATAAGAAAACAACAGGGTCCATTGTTACCCAGTCTGTCTTCAAGAATTTAGCTCTCTGTTTTTCAAAATTCAATCAAAATTCATCACACATGCTGTGCCTTCACCCTGCAGTGCTCTACGCCCCCTGGTGGGACTGACCCCCCCACTTTGGGAACAACGGCATCTGCACATAACGTTAAGTCTTTCTACAGTGAAATTGGTAAATGTTCCCTGTGTACGTCTGGTTTTGGTGATACTTTGTGATACCAGATCAACCAAACTGAAAGGTTGTTGACACCAGCAGAAATAAAAACCAAAACTCCTGATCTGCTGGTCTGTGGACAGGCAAACAAACATCATTTGTTCCTGACTGGTGAACTACTCAGCAAAAGAAATGATGAGTTCAGACATTTGTGAAAAGTTTTCAGTTTCCTCTGCCGGACTCCTCTCTGAATGCATCAGAGCGGCCATTCCAGCTCATACAAATGCAAGTATTTTGGTGGGCGGCGGCGAGTCCTCTGCCACTAGGCGCTTCATGCAATATGTGCCCGTAAGATGAAATCACTAACATTGCAGCTATAGTCGACTCCCACTCTCTGGGCAGCACAGACGGGGCATTATGTGGTGGAGTACCAGCTGGTACCACGGGCTCCCCGTCCTCTGCAGGACTTTGTCTGCAGCTGCCTATGAGATCAGGACATGGAACTGAAGCTGAAGACCGAACCTGTCGGCAGCCTCTTTGGATTTACTCTGATACTTGGTTTCTTTTGTGCTGTTTGCGAGGCTCAAAGATGTAAGTACGTCTGTGATCGTGGGGACGAGCTTCTGTCGTACTGGTGGTGGCGAAGTGTTACCTCATCACCGACAGATATGAGGTGGTCCACGACCCCTCTGCGCCCCTCAACTATTTAGACTTCTTACTCCTTTGTTTTTTTCTCTTATTGAGTTTAGATTGAGTTACATTAAAGTGTCTGTTTGAAATAGAAAGACAAAAATCAACAGAAAAAAAATAAATTCAAATATCTTTTTTTTTTTTTTTGTAGTTATTAAATAATTATTAAGTATCCTTGAGGCCCAGTGCAGTTTTTTAACCCATGTGGACACACTGGCTATAATTTGACTTTTGTTATGCAAGTGGAGCATGTTACACCAACTGAAATAATATATTTAAGTTTTTTATACATAGTTTTTGTATGTTTAGCATTTTTTGCAGCCTGTGTCTAGATGTTCAGATGAGTTTGGTCTATTATTTTGTCTGGGTTTTTTCTTATGTTATTAATGTTCTGCTTCCCACCACCGTCTTTGGTCCGTGTTTTTCCGCCCTCTGTCTGTGGTTCTGGTTCTGTCCTGTTCCTGGTTTACAGTGTTCCCTGTGTCGTTCAGTCAACGTGTCCTTGTCGTCTTGACATCTGCTGTCTAACTCTCCTCACACTCCAGGTTGGAACATGTTCTCCGTTGCGTCTTGTGACGTCTCAAACTCAGCTTTTTCCTGCGTGCTCTTGTTTCTCTTGATTAGTCGCCTCTCGTGTTGGTTTGGAGTACTTTTGTACTTGTTTCCTCATTGGAGACTTTTTAGTTTTTCTGTACAAGATCCAGTGATTTCTTATCTGGACAGCAGGTGGCAGGGTCAACAATATCATATCAGAAATATACAGCAATTAGTTTTATCACTTGCTAACAGGCAAACACAGCAGTTAGCTGTTGTCTGGGAAATAACTGAAGCCAAGTAGCAGGTAAAAGGACACGGACACCGAGAAGCACTTCACTGGATTTTCTGTTAAAAAAAAAAAAATCATAATATTTTGGATGTTGACTTTGGCTCTGATGAAAAGCTGTGAAAAGCCAAATTTCCCCCAGTGCGGGTTGATTCATGACAAAGGTTTAATTTTAATCTATATATTTAATTTTTTCATGTGCTGACTCTTGTGTCGTCACAGTTTGTTCCGTGCCTCCTGGTCCAGTGACGGTCTCTGAAAATAACACTGCCGACCTGCAGGTGGTGCAGATCAGCTCGGGCAACGATGTGACGCTCACAGTCAAGGTAAACCCTGAGGATCTGTTCTACCTGAAGGGAATTGCTCTGATGGTGAAGAAGGGGCTCGACTACGAGGTGAGTTGCAATAAGTTCAGTTACTTAGCTTATCTTACCACTTCACTATATACTATATACTAATTACTATATGTAATTCAATGAGGTAATTATTTATGCAGTATCAACCGACACCGTGAATATTTGTTTGTTAATTTTGAAAAAAAAAAAAGATACAGTACTGGAGAGTATCTGTTATTTTGATGGTGAAATGAAGTAAAATATCACAGTATTTCAGTGGATCAGTATTTGTCAACTACAATTGTAAAAGTTTCTATTATGGTAAAACAAAAACGGTGGCTGTAAACGTTGACAATCTTTTACTGTTGTCGTTCTACCACCAGTTATAGCATTAGTAGTTGTAGCCTTTTCATGCTAACACGGTTACAGTGTCTTTACAGTTACATTGTGGCTTACTTAGTTTTTGTTTTTTTTTTGTAGTCATTGCCCAGTCCACTTCTGGTGGTGTGGGTGCAGTGCAGCAAAAGTAGCTACAGATCTGTAAGTAGAACTCACTCTGCTCTAAACCCATTACCCATTTTTATTGTTGTTGTTCTGAATAGTTAGCACATAACCGAAAAGCGTCCGTATTTACATCAGTGTTTCTGTTGTCCTCAAGGTCAATGTGTCTGTTGAGGTACTGGTCGACAATGTGAACGACAACCCTCCTAACTTTGCTCAAAACCACTACGTGCTGGAGGTCAACGAGGTGAGGGGCGGGGTCACACTTTTCCTGTAACGATAATATTTGACGCATCACTGACTTTGAGTTGTTGTTTCTTCTACAGCTCACACCGGTCAACACCACTGTTGGACTGATTGAAGCAACGGATGTAGACTCCACACCTCTGTATTATCGTCTCGAGTCGACCACAGTAAGAAAACACCGTTCAGCAGTGTTAACTTAGCTAGTAGTAACCTTAGCTAATTCAATTTAAAATAGCAGTGTGAATTTTTATTTCTTTACCTTTAATTGACACATTGTCTACTGTAAAGACAGTGTTTGACCTGATCTGTCTGTCGCCCCAGGATAAATATTTTCAGTTGGAGAAGCCCACCAATCCAAAGATTGTCGTAAAGAACCTCCTAGACTTCGATGTGGTTCAGAAGATCTCCCTGGTTTTACATGTCCAGGTATGGCCGACATGGCAGTACTGAAGAACTGAGTGTGTTTCTTCTTCCTGTCACGCCTTTTCTCCTGTGTTTCAGGATACGTTCAATGGTTCCGCCTCCAATGACCCTTTCTTCACGTCAGTGGCCACCATCACTGTCGTGGTAAAGGACGTTGACAACCGGCCTCCGTGGTTTCAGCCGTGTTTGAGGACCAATTTAGGAAATGCCAAACTGTGTGTGAGCACTGGCTACAAAACTAAAGTCAACTTGACAGAGAAGGAGGTGAGAGACGTACAGAGAGAGTCCATCATGAAGGCGGTTTTAATGGTCGACTGTTGGGCTTTGTATTTTAAAGAAATTCCGGATTCGATTCGATTTTGATTCTTTTTTATTTTTGGTCACAATTTAGGATGTCAGATAATAATGGCCAACTGATATTATCGGACCGATATTGGCATAATTGTGTCATATTGACAAGGATCGTTATTGGTTTTTCCTCCGATGATGAAAACCCAATAATGCAATGCCTGGATTTTGCCAAATGATGTGTTTCCTAAAAATATTTTTTGGGGAAAACAGCTGCATGCAAAGTAAAAGCCACTAGATGGCAGCATTGCAGCTCATTTTAGTGATCTGTTTTAATAATATTTTGTTGGAATTAACTGATTAATTAATTTCATTTGGTGAAACTCGGATTACTTTTCTTCTTGTCTAAAAAATAATTTAATTTATGAATCTAAAAACTGTAGAATCATGTTGCTGAACTGTGTGTTGTTGACAGGTATGTGTTCCACTGGGTTACGTTACTTTTCTATGGCATCCTTAAGTGTTTCATTTTTATTTTATTTAGGAAATGTGTCTGTTAACATGGATGCAAACGCTGACAACAGAATGACTTTATGATTGATTTATTCTCCAGGAGGGGGCGTTAGTGCTGGAGCCTGGACCTGTGTTTGCCAGGGATGGAGACAGAAACAGAAGCGAAATCATCAACTACAGAATACTGCGAGGTTGGTCCTGGAAAAATAACCGTACTAGCTAATTTTGATGTTTTTTATTTCTTTAAAGTCATCTTTTTTTTTGGGATGTTCAGGAAATGAGGGAAACATTTTCCAGATTGATGAAGAAACAGGGAACGTCACCATGACCAAAGCTGCCGATATTATCGGCCCAATAACTCTAACCATCCTGGTAAAATAAAAATATTACAAATATCCCAGAAACTTTCTGAGTTCTATTGAAGTTTATAGCGGAAATAATTTTTTTTTTTTACTGTTGCCAGGCGTTTCAGGTGACGAACAAAGACCAGTTTGCTGTAACACAGTTGACCATTGACGTGATGAAGAGGAGCAGGAACCCTCCACGGTTTGAGAAAGAACGATATGAAGCATTCATTTACAGCAACTCTGTCCCTGAGAGCATGATCCTCCGAGACCGGAGCACAAACCGGCCCTTCAGAGTCAGGGCCAGGGACGAGGACTTTGGCAGTGTGAGTCTAAAATAAAATATAAATTAGA